AATCGCTTGAGAATGAATCCATGAATGGATTTCTTTCCCTCCCACCCCTAGTTTGATCATAAGTCCCCGCAATCCATGTCATGTCCCCCCTCCCTGTCTTTCTCTCCAGCTCATAACCTCGCTGCCTTTCTTTTCCTTCTCCCAGTCTGTCGCTGTTGATTTCACACTCCCTCTCATTTAGTGTTAGTGTTTTCATATCTGAGACATGGACATTAGTGCGTAATGACAGTAAGTCTTGACGCCTAAAGAACTGATTGCTCCAGTCTTGTCATATCAAAGACACAAAGGAGTCTTAAGTAAATAAATCAGGCTATTCTGCTCTAGCAGAGAGCATCCCGTCAGCGTGCTCTGAAGGTTTGGGGTGAACGCTGTTTATTTCTCTCATCTCTTTTGAAGTTAGAGATCGGAGGCTGGACATGAAGATTTAGACATCTCATCAGCAACACCACATATCTGCACATAACTAAAGCTGGCTTTACGGGCTCTGCATTAAGGGGTGACTCCTGTGGTTGTTGTTTTGCTCAGTTTTCCTCTGGCTTGGCCTGAAGGAGAGTGTCATTAATGCTCTAAGGGTGGAGTGTGTTTATTCGGCGCTTTTAGTGGAACTTTGTCCAATTACTCAAATTCTGACCATGGTGAATGTAAATAGCCATTATTCAGAACTAGCAGACAAGTAACTTGTCAAATTAATGCTAAACCTGCTTTTTAGACCATTTTTGGACTATTGGGCTCGGGCTCAACAGTAAAGATGGCCGGTTGGCCAGGGCCAATGTGAGAGAGTTTCAGGCCAGTTGACAAAAAAGTTTAATTTAAATGTCACTAAGGTAAAGATGTCTGGCTAACATGTAAAAGTTTTTTTCTTTTTTTTTTCTTTAAATGGCATCAGGCAGAAGTGTGTTGGATTTTGAAAAATATGAATTATGACAAAAAAAAAATCCTTATTGATGGACTGCAGTTTATGTGCCAGTGCAATCTTGGAACCACTCTTGGTCCAAAAAAAAAAAACTGAACTAAAATTGCTTACCAGAAACGTTACACACCAGCATGAGACAAATGATCCTCTTACCACACCTACTGACTACTTAAAGACAACATGAAATCAAAATAGACCCTGTTGAATTTTTTTGTCATTAATATTTAATGTCCCTAGTGTTGAGCATGATTATTTGCTGCATGTTATTCTATAAAAAAGAAGAAGAAAAAAAAAGGCTGTTTAAAAAAAATCTGTTTCTGCAATGACTTTTGTAGGCCATGTGTTCAATAACTTATAATACTGATTAATAATATAATGTCCTAATTATGATATTATAAATTGATTTCTTCTACCTACCACTTTCCTGATAAAATCAAGTAACAGTATGCTGTTAAATGTGTCACATTATGAATGTTAAATGTGTGTTGAATACAGTTCTGTTGTCTTTGAGATACCATGTGAAAGAATGTTCTATTCTATTCTATTCTATTCTATTCTATTCTATTCTATTCCCCACCCTACAAAGATACAGTTGTATTCAGCATGTCAAAGTTTGTCAAAAACAGTGGTATCAAAATATAATTCCTTCATGACAAACTAACAACTATCAACTGCTTATGAACCTGAATTTGCTGCTTTAACTTGAATTATCCGCTTCTGTCACGCTCTCAGCTCCCTGCTGCCCATATACAGTTGGGCTTCCCTGTGCTCATGTAAACTGACACAGGCAGAAAGCACCTCAAAGTCGTCTGATTGGTGAATGTGAACGAATCTAAATGTGGTATAGATATTTTATATTCCATAAAAAATATATTACACACTGCACCTTTAATGCAAACGAAGCTTTCTGTTTGCGAATATATTCGAGTCACAATTCATTTATCAGAAGCATTGTTACTATCTGAGTAACGTCTGAGGCACTTTCAGACTGCCCTTTTGAAAAGTTTAAAGCTTCTCTGATATTGTCGAGTCCCATCATGTCACGTCGGTTTATTGTTAGAAACATTACCTTATACTTAGTCATAGCCCCTGTGTTTTGTGGGTCATGTTCTCTTTGCGTCACACCATAGTCAGTGAGAAAAAAAAAAAAGGAGAGAGAGACAAAACTCCTAAGCACACATGGCTCAGCGGGGGCTTCATTTCTCATCTCTTAAGAGTTTCTCTCTATGTGGTAGGTGTGCTTGTTGTGGAAAACACTCTGGCTGTTTATTCTCCACTGAACCAAGTGGCACTATGATAAGATTCTGCCTCTGTAATTTTGCAAGGTCACATTTCCTTGGTGAAGATGTCTGGTTGGTTGATTCGTGCCCAATCGTTTCTTTCCTAACTGATGGTCTGAGCCTTCTTGCTTGATGAAATATCACAAGTCTTCAAATTAATGTTATGCTCTGCTGATTAAACCTGGAATGGAATATGTCATACTATTTTTAGCAGCTGAGCAGGTTACGTATGCATATCTGAAAGATGAATATTGCTGTACTGCTGCTGAAAACATGATTGTCTGAGATGTGTTGGCAGAAGCTTGATAGATATTGTAGAGCACCAAATCAGCAGTGGTGGCTAAAGTACTTGGCACTTAAGTAAAAGTATAGATATCTTACCAGAAAATGACTTTGATAGAAGTTAAGTCACTGTTTAGAATATTGCTTGAGTAAAATTTTTAAAGTATGTGATATTTATTGTACTCAAGTATGAAAAGTATTTTTAAATATTAAACTTAAGCATTGAAAATACAAGATTCAAAATGGAAAAGTAGCAAATAAATATTAAAAATTGTTCTATACACAGTTTGAGCAGCAAGATTGTGTTCAGTTTTAACTCTTTCTTCCATTTTATATCTTTGGGCTAGCATAAGAGCCCTTCATCTTGTACGGAGACATATCATCATTCCAACATAAGAAAACAGTTTTTGCAAATATGGAATCTGCATCTGAAGTGGCATTTAGATTCATTTACACAGACTGTTTAATGCAGCTCAGAGGTTACATGGATGCATTTAGCCAGCAGTTACAAATGCATAAATAATGTTGAATATTGATATTTGAAAAGATTTAAAACATGAAAAGATACTTGAAAAGTGAAATTAAAGCCGCCACTGTTAATGAGCGAGTCATTGAGATTAAATCAATTCATTCAAAAGGTTGATTTATACAGGAATGAAACATTTGACTGTTTTAATGAGTGAGTCACTGAATCATTCATTCAAAAAACTGATTCATTCAATAAGGAAACACCGTCTAAAATGTAAGTAGCCTAACTTAATACTAACTTTATTAAACTTGTATAAAATAAATATTACATTTGTTATCATGCTGATATCTGAAGAAAAAAATTTCACTCTTAGTGTGATATAGATGAACTATATTAAATGATATAAACATAAAAGACATACAGAGTCATTTTGCCTCTTATCTTGAATGGTATGGGCTTTCTAAATGCATTTTAATCGACACAGTGTATGCGTGCACTCTGGGTGTGTTTTTGTTTGGTTTTTGTGATATACTCGATAATGAAATATTCAATGGAATATACATTTTTTCACATAACGTAAGAGTGCAGTTATTACAGTATGCTTAGTTATTACATTATGAGTTGCTACATAATTTGTATTTTAAAATGTATTTAAATAGAAAACAGTTTGAGAAATACAGCCTTGGTGAGCATAAGACACTTCTTCCAAAAACTTAATCTTATCAACCCCAAACTTTTGAATGGTAGTGTATATTGTGTATATAACTAATAATCATACTGTATATGACATGTTTGAGGTAGTAAATTAACCTGTTATCAAAGTGTGTGAGTTTACTGATGTTCATTCACTGTTTAGCTTCAGCTCAAGCAGATCAGTCTCTGACAGACTATGATTTGGAATATTTGAAACAATCATACTCTTTCTAGATGTTTTGTGATTGTTAATTCTTGCTGTCATTTATTTTGTCATTTTTATCAAGATGTTTACATGACAGTCATTTAATTAGCACCATGATTTAACAGTAATTTTGTTGACTAGATTAAAACTGCCTGAGACTTCAGCATTTTCCGCCGTGCTCAGTCTAGCTGTTTTGAACACGTCTTATGTAAACACTCTGCCTTAAGAATCGTGTCCAATTGGGGTCAGACTGACTCGAAACTAGGCTAATTATACAGAGCTTCTTTTTACATCACACAGGCAACCCACCAACTATTCGAGTTTGAAAACGTAGTATTGCACATCCCAAAAAAATTAACAGATGGTGTGGGCTGCACATGACACCAGAAAAAAACGAACAATCTGTCCGTGAAAGTGATGATTTTTAACGACCTAAAATAACGAAGACGAGATATTTTGACAAGCTTCCTCAGTCGCCTATTTTCTTAATGGCTGTATTTTGAAACTCTACCTTGCTCATCAAAGCTTTCACATCTTACAGTGGCGTTCGCAAATCAAACCGTTATTTAACAGTGCGGCTGTGTTTTATTTCAGATTATTCCTGACAGCCCGTTTTCAGTTCATTTAATTGCGCGCTCGTGGTTTAATTTCAGGACGGCAAGCTTTACATGCATAAATGACCTTCACGATTAGCTGATGCACACGGCGCTGGAGGAGATTACACTCATTTATGTGTGTGACATCACTCACCTCTGTGGTTTGTCTACGGGAAGTGCGAATAAGGAAGCATGTATACTCCAGTGAGATTTTCTCATGTCAAAGACATGTACAATGATTCATGCTTGCAGCTGTCTTGTACTGTTAATTTCTGATTTGTTTATGCTTCATTTGAGCCAGTGGCCTTAAACCTCTCATTAGCCAAAATCACATCAAGGCTCAGGTCCTGCCCAAACTTTTCTGGGTCGTAAAACATGCTATGAGTATTTTACATGCATTGCCATTTCATTAATTCCACTGTTCATCCTCAAATGTTTGGTTGGTTCTGTGAGTCTACAAAACACAGAGAATATAAAGAAGAGTCAGTTCTCATACCCTTGGTCCATATCCATCCCAGCTCTAATGACCTTCCCTTGCCTTTTTCTATCTCCCTTCAACAAGGCCAAGTGGAGTCAGTGGCCACGTTCAAGGGTAATGAGTTCTTCAGCTACGACCTGTCCCAAAAGCCCATCCAGAGCAGCACAGATGAAATCACCCTGTCCTTCCGAACGCTGCAGAGGAATGGTCTCCTGCTCCACACCGGCAAGTCTGCCGACTATGTCAACCTGTCTCTGAAAAGTGGGGCCGTGTGCCTGGTCATCAACCTGGGCTCCGGTGCCTTTGAGGCTCTGGTGGAGCCGTCCGACGGCAAGTTCAACGACAATGCCTGGCACGCGGTCCGTGTGTCCCGCAACCTACGTCAGGTAACGTTCACCTTTGCACATCGTGGCTCCACAGGGTGCTTCATTTGATCTTTCTGATATTTTTGATGACTGAATTTTGGTTAACTTGTATTACTGTGATAAGTAGGTGTATAAATGTGTAATTGCAGTATTAACTCTTTAAAACTGCTTTTAGCGATTTCTGCACTGCTAGCAAAAGTAATTAAACTAAAAAAAAAGTTTTTTGATTGGCTAATAGGGAATTTCAAGCGTGGCAGTGGTCAAAAAATCGCTACAAGTAGTTTTAAGTCAGTCTAAACCTTTCATTTAGCTATGTGTTTCTTCTGAAATAACTGTTGTTCCACATATGATTTTAGCCTGAAATCCTGTAATATCAAGAGTATATTGTTTGTAATAAAAGGTGAATTTTAGACTGCATTTTTGGGGAAGGGGTTGTTCCAAACAAAAGTGAGCAGCCAAATTTTCTTCAGGAAGGACCCTTCAATTAGGCCATTAGCAAAGGAAACTTCATGGAAGTATATTAGTTTTTAAACCCAACAGGATGTGTCACTTACATATTTACAGATTTTGCAGGAATGAATCCTAAAACCTGTAAACAAATTAAAAAAAATTCACTTTTGGTTCCTGAAGTCAATGTTTTTGTTTTTGTTTTTTTTTTAGAATGCCTTTTGAATGCCTGAAATAAGGTCTGTGGTTTAGCACAAGCTTAACATATTTTCACATTTTATTCTACAACATTAAAATGCATCAGTAATATGATTTTACATATCTTACTCCTTTGCTAACAAATGGCTGAATGGGACTACAAAAGAAATTGGTGACATTAAACGTCATGTCGAATAGGAAAGATAATTTGCTAGTCCACTTTTACAGCCTTGTTGTGTTGATACTTGTGCACCTGCACACTATTCTAACTCAAATTTTACAATTTGTAGACTTTAAATAAAGATTAAAAGAGTTGATGGAAATTAATTTATAATAATTTTATAATAATTTAATTTAATTATAATTTATGCATTTAGCAGACGCTTTTATCCAAAGCGACTTACAGTGCATTCAGGCTATACATTTTTTACCAGTATGTAAATAAATTATTATTTATGTAAATAGTATAAATTAGTGGTGGTGATATTATAGTCTTGCGACCTATGCTTAGCTTTTTTACTTCTGGTGATTTGTATTTACAGTGTAGGCTTCAAAATTCATAAATGTTGTGTTTATTTGAAAAGATCATCTGGATGACGAAACATGTGAGAATCATAAACTTTTGTTGGTCACACAGCTTATTTTCTGCAGTAAACCAAAAGCCAATGGAAAAATCCTAAAAAAAAAAAAAAAAAATCAGATAATGTTCAGATTTAATAAAGTGCTCAATTTTGAATGGAATTTACCCTGAGATGCGCTGCACAAAGCCCAGTCTTAATTGGAATCAGATGGTTTCACAGGTGCTTTAGTGGACCAGGCAGTTGGAGCTTGTCCACCTAACAATGCTAGCCGTCAGAGAATTGACAAGGTAATATGTAACTCTAATTGCAAAATAGATTTACGTTGCAAAATAGATTCACTGAGATGTGTTAATTTCAGCGATGTAGTGAGAGCAAAATATTTCTGTTGTTGGAATCTTGGAGGTCACTGCAGGATTGAAGTACCATTAAGCCACAGGCACTTCCAGACATAGATGGCGGTGATAATTACCTTCCAGTTGTTACTAACCAGTATGGGTGTGTGTGTGTGTGTGTGTGTGTGTGTGTGTGTGTGTGCGAGTCCCTGTTGAGGAGGAGTGTTTTGATTTGGCGACTCCATTCAAGTCCAGACTGCACCACTCTGTTTTGCCTGTGATTAAATACACAACAGTGAATATGCTCCAATTATGCCGGTAAAATAATCTGTCCAGTAAGCTTTCCATCTTGTGGAGAAGGGGGAATGTTTACTATTTATTATTTAACCTAAGAGAAAAGGGGTCCCTCTATCACAGCCTTCAAAAAAGCAGCGTTGTAGTTGAGGCTGTTTTTTTTTTCAGTGCCATTATCCTGATTGTTTTCGATCCGTTATTGCTGAAATATGATTATATGATAGGGCGCATCGTATAGACACACACTATGCCTGCTCGCTTCTGCCGCCACTGATTATTTCTCCATTTGACTGCCGTAACCTTTAGCTCAAGTGTTGCTTACAGAGCCGAGGGTGCACCTTGCATCTGTTAACGAATGAGCTGTATTTTTGTTCTGCCATGACAAATTATGGAAGTACCGAGCTCGCCGATGCCGAGCAGGCATAAACGAGTGCATAACGGGTGTTGACATTTTTACTTTTGTCATTCATTTACCTTAAATAATGAGTGAGTCACTACTGCTGCTGTCATTCTTTACTCTAACGGTGCTGCCTCTGCAAGATCCCTCCTTCAAAACCCTCCCTGAACCATCTTGTTTGACAGATTAGTTGAATTCTCTCTCTTTTTCTCTCTTTTACTAACACTGAAGCCTCTAAGTGGATTTGTCATTGTTTATCTTCTGCCTTTACCCTTTCAAATACTAACATGAAATCCTCCATGGAATGTGAGCCATCTGTTTGCCGTTGACAGTGTCCAAAGAAATTAGGTATAAACTAACAGATTTCAACAGCTATTTTTTTCTTCTCATTCTTCCTGGGAAGATATATTCTAATGGAGGGCGGAGAAATTAGTATCATTTCGTGGTATGCTTAAATTTGCTTTAAAATTGCTAGTAAGTCATATTTCAATCCTTTTAAAGCGTCTGTGGAGTTTATGGTATGTAATTTTACTCTCCCTCCTTGTTTTTTTCTTTTTTGAAGCGCGCAGGGGTTGGACTCCCTACGGTAAACAAACTGCATTATATGGTAGATATCACATTCTAATTTGTCTAGTTTGGTTTGGCCCTTTCTTTTTATCTCTTTTTGCTTTTACTGTGCAGAAACGACTAAAGAAAAGTTTAAAAATGGCATCAATCCCCAGGTGCCATGCAAAAGTTCATTTTTTTCCATTTGCAATTTATGTACATTGTTTTTTTTTTATTCCACTCACAATCCTCTCACCCATATCCTTATTCAAATGCTTTAGGTTGTATGAGTTCTACCATCAGTAACACATCTTATTTGGCTGAGAGTTTCTATGGTGGGCGTAAATGATGCTGTAAGCTGCTGAATACAGTCTGGGACACCCTATGGCTGACACTGGATTTGTTTTCTCAGACAGAATTTGTACTGACAAATACATATTTTTATGCTTAATGTAAATCCTGATGTATTGCTCCAAAACCATATCCTCAGAATTACACAGACAAACTTGCCAGTTACATTAAATTACATGTTAATCTAAAATATAAACTGCCCAGTGTCAAAGTAAAAGGGCAGAGGGTGCTTTCAAAGCATTTCATAATTTCTCAGATAAAAGAAACAATCAAAAACAGTTTGATTTGAGTGCAGCTCTTGTGCAGCATTTCTGTCCACCTGCTCTATTTTCCCTCATTCTCCCCCTTTGATGTTGGCTTTTATTAAATGTTGCAGCATCTCATACAGAGATTTCGGTGCACTGTATGATGTAGCATTTAATAATTCTGATTCTCGCTTAGATACGTCTCTTAATATGCAATGTTCTCAAGCTTTGTGTTCATATCTGCCAAGTTAATCAACAGGAGAGAAGGGCAGTGAAGGCTTTTATTTGAAGATGCAGCTACATTAGCTTAGATACAGTTTACTGTTAATAGCACAATATATGCCCAATGCAAAGAAAAAAAAAGGCAAGCAGAAAACTCTACTCTTCAAACTTTGTTGCAGACAGATGATTTCTGTGTGAAGCTTAGTTGATTATAATGGGAGCGATTTAATTTCGACACGCAGTGTAGGTACGGTGTACCTGTGGGTTGCTTATGGTTGCCAAGCAACATCTTAACTCCAATTAGGAGTTATAGTATAGAATATAGAATATATAGAATTAATATAGTATTCAACTGCATAAATCTGCTATTTTTCAGTGGCTTCAAACTTGACTAAAATTGTCATATTTGTAATGTATTATTCTTTTGAGACTTGTTTTTAACTCAAGCATTGCATAATGTAAAATTATCATTTATAAATATGAATAATGATGTGAATGATCTTCCTTTTTGGTTTGCATCCTTCACATTGCAGTAAACGAAGAAGTAAATAAATATTATGTATTCATTTTTAAAGTATTTATTAAATTTGCTGAATTAAATAATATATGACTATTGAAAAAAACATTACATAGACTTTAAGTGATGTAAAATTACTCTGTGAGAGGATTTTGCACCTATCACCCCTAAATACAATCAGATAACATGTTTAGATGTTTACACTGTGTTAATGCTAAAATGTACAAGCCCTTCTGTTTCTACAAGTAACATGTTATTGACAGTTCTTTCTCATTTCCAGTTGCCTTTAACTTTAACACTTTAATCTGAAAGAATGACCTTGGGCAGACAAATGGAGGTGTACCGCTTGAGCACAAACACTCACTGTTTATATGAATTGAAAGTGGAAAATGACAGAATTGGATAAAAATGATTGTGGCTGCCATACAGCCGTTATTAACCCTCTGTCTAGGGAACAGAGAAAAGATTGACCTCCCCTTACCCTTCTCTTCCTGTGGCAAGAGTACATCTTGTTTTCTTCATGAGTTTATTTTTTTTTATTGATTTTTGTCATTAATTTCTTTAAGTATCTGATGACATGTGGCACTTTTTATCCAGCATGTGCACATGTTTTGCATCATTGGACTTACGCTTTGTATACCGTGTTTTTTAAAATATAATATGCAGCTTGTACACACCATTATGCACCTGCATAATTTGCTTCCACTGCATGTGTGGGTAACTATTTTTGTTGATGTTGTGTGGTGCTGTACATTATTTATTTATTTTTTGGGTTTCTTTTCCCCTCCATATCTTGCTTTCTCTGCTCTTTCTCTCTTATAAAGGTTCAGACAAATACTGGGTTTCAATTTCAGGACAATGCATACCATCTACAATTTCCAGCAAACAAGCTGCATTTTTTTTCCAGCTTTGCCTACTTGTCCACAGTAATAATAATGTTCACAGAATATTTGACGATATTAGAGATGGAATCTGAATCCTTTCTGTCTGTCGGCATGGAAACACCTCAACCCCAAGCATTTATTAAGACAGTAAGAAAACCACCTGTTTTGGATGTCTGCCAGTGTTTCCACACTTCAACATTAACATTTACAGATGTTGCAAGTATAATTGTGCTCTAGATGCATTTAATTAATCTTAAATGACTCTTTATAATGAGTCTAACTACATTAAGTCCTGAAATCGCAGCCCGAGATGCCTTAATCGTCATGCATGGCTTGTGTATTAACAAACTGAAAGCTGTCGCTACCCAAACACCTCCAAAGTATTCTTTTCAAGACATCTCTTATATAATGTGTGCAATTAATCCAGTAGTTGATCAGAACTGACCACCAACATAGCTAAATGCAACCTCTGTTATACTAACAACCATTTTTGTGTCTGAATCCCCCCCTTTTATACTAATCTCGCACAGTCACCCTTAACATCACTTGCTAACCCACTCAACATTTAGTGATTCCTCTTAGCTCCTGTAGCCATACACCTCCCCTTCCTGTCTCTCCTCTCCAGCACTGACTAGTGCACAGTCCAGCACACATGACAGCATTCTCTCATTCAGAAAGCAGCAATAGCAGACATAAAAATGGGTTGCCCCCTCGCTAATGTATGCATACAGAACCAGAGGAACCCCCACGTGAAACAGATTTGAGTTTTTTTAGTAGAGGAACTTGTTGAACCCAACAAGGATTTCAGCTTTTGCATAATCAAAGGATTTCCCACGTTCCCTCTCTTGTTTCTTCCCTCTCTCTCTCTCTCGCTCTCTCTCTCTCTCTCTCTCTATTTTCTATCCCTCCGTGGCCTTTATGCAAACACAGGTGACGATATCGGTGGACAGCCTGCTGACAACCACTGGCTACACCCAGGAGGACTACACCATGCTGGGCTCAGATGATTTCTTCTACGTGGGCGGCAGTCCAAACACAGCAGATCTGCCCGGCTCCCCTGTGAGCAACAACTTCATGGGCTGCCTTAAAGATGTAAGAAGCATTTTGTTCTTTCCTTTGATTTCATGCGAGATGGTCGAGATCTGCTCAAAGAAGATCTGGTTTCTCGAGTTCCATTGATGTTCTTTCTGTTTGGCGAGCAGTCTGTCCTCTTTTACCTCTTCCTTATCTGTCCTTTCTCCTTTCTCTTTCACGTCCATTCGTACCCCTCCGAGCATGTCCCATAATTTATGTCATGTCTATACTGTTGAAGTTCCAGCTTTACTATCTTGACAGCCAAATTAAAAATTGATTTCCTCTATGGGAACCCCATTCGACTGTCCCAGACTCTCCATCTCTGTCTCGTTGACCCCGGACTCTATTAATCACCACTCTCTACCTGCTCAACCGTTCAGTTAGTATCAGTGGCCCTCTTCAGCAGGAGCTTGAGCACTCCCTTATCGCACCTCTGATAGAGACATATACTCGTCTACAATTCTGTTATGCTTTTGGGAGTCTGTGTTTTGTCTTGTTTTTGTCTTGTCGCTCTTTCGTTTTCATTTGGTCTTTTGTTGTACAGGTATTGTGTGTCATGATTGTTGTTGGATGTTCATGTTTTCTTCCATGTCGACTGCGTCCACCTGTGTAGCGTTTAATTGGGCAGGTTTGTCAAGGTATATATATATACCCTCTCGAGTCATTTGTCAGGTACTTATTAGTTGTAAATGTTTGGTGAGCCTTGTTTTTTGTTTCTCTTGTTTCTTGTTTTTTCTTATCTCGTCTTTGAAAATAAATATATATTTTGATCCTCCATTGAGACCACTTTTTTGCCGAGAACAAATCCCCTGTTTTATGTTGAGAATAAATGGCTTCTATTGCATTCAAAGTACATGTTTTTAGCAGTTCATGCATTCCCTGGGAATCAAACCCATGACTGATGTTGTTAGTACCATGCGCTATTGTCTCAGCTACAGCAATACTGGAGTCCTCATTTTGGATGAGCAGTTTAGACCTTTTCTATGGCATGGCGGGAAGGCAAATCAATGTTTCGTAATTTGTTTGAATTTTGTCCTTTTTATCTGTGCAGTTTTTATGTTCATTGAATGTTTACCAGATGAATCACCAGATAATTTTCAAACCACTCAAACCTTGGTTCCAGGAAAAAAAAAAAAAAAAAAATTAAATGTATGATAACTAAAATGTCTTACAGTGTTTAGTCTGACCACCTGAGGTTGACATTTTCTGAAGGTTTAGAACCTTTTGTCTGATAATTGGAAAAAAGATTTTCAGTCCCTGTTTTGTACCCCATTTTGAAAAGTGCCTGTTCCGAGAAGATTTTTACATTTTCTAAAGAAAATTTAAGTAGTGCTTGCCGGTGGAAAAAGTCTCTGACAATACTTAGATGTTGTTTTTGATTTCTTGAGCAGTTGTTGAGGTGTTCAGAGTGTTTTTAGTGCTTCATCATGCAGTTGCTAGGCTGTTGTGTGTGGTTGCTGAGGTGGCCCAAGTACAAAAAGTGTCTCCCTCTTCTATGTTTAGCATGTTTCTTTAGGGGGTTTGAAAAATCCCTAACCCCAAGTATAGTGACCTCTGATTACATAAATGTGAGATAGGAAACAAGCAACGAGACATTTTAAGAAACACTGAGATAACAGACCCGTATCTTAATCTGATAGTGAATCAGGAATATCAGTATGCTTAGGTTGTGATGGTTTAAAACGGTCTCATTGACAGATCCCTCAGATTTTTTTGTCCACACTCTCAGGCAACAATTGCATTTTTCATGTTCCTTCGCTCGGAGCTGGCACCTCTTGTTTTGCTCCTACCTCTTCCCTTTATTTTTCTGTCATGAGGGCTGACGAGAAACATGGCTGTCTTGTGTTATTTTCAGAGACACTCAAGTTCACACCCAGCAACAAAGCGTCAGTCATCATCTTCGGACAGAGAGTGTAAAAATGAAAAGCATGTTTGCTGTGCTGGGCTGATTCGCCCATCTGGCTGTAGAGACAGTGCATGTGGCTGAGACAAAAAAAATCAGCCCCAGGGGACACATTCACAATGCATGTGTTGTAGGAATGTTATTTTAGGATCAGTTTTGCTTTGTGTCTTATAGTGTGGGCTAGACATCATACCCTAGATCAAGATTTCTCAGTTGACATCACCTAATGAATGCGCTGTTTATGCGTGCGATTCAGAAAACCGGTTAGCTTTGGTATCGTCAGAGCTAATGTTAGCGTAGGATGATTCATCATCCTACATTCGTTAATGAAACAGAATATCGATTAGACGGGGGTTTCTGTAGCGCTCTAGATGAGGTCGCTAGGTTTATGTGATCCACTCGTACTTCGAGTATTTAAAGAGACTGCTGTGTTTACTGACTTGAAAACCGTGCCCCCGAGGTACACGCATCAGCTGTAGTTTGTTTGTACCAGTGGGCAGCAGGCTACTCTATTCCACCCTGTTAGCATTCAAGCACTTTTTTTCCCTCTCTCTCTCTCCCCGTCCCAGGTGGTCTACACCAATAATGAGTTCAGACTGGAGCTCTCCCGCCTGGCTGAATTGCGCGACCCCAAGGTTACCATCCACGGTGACCTGACCTTCCGCTGCGAGGATGTCGCCGCATTAGACCCCGTCAGTTTCGACATGCCGACTGCTTATGTAACCCTTCCGCACTGGAACGCAAAGAAAGCCGGTTCCGTGTCCTTCGACTTCCGAACCACCGAACCCAACGGCCTCCTGCTGTTCAGCCACGGGCGGCCGCAGAGTTCCAAAGATCACAGACCGAAGGTGGACTTCTTCGCCATGGAGCTGCTTGAAGGTTTCCTCTACCTGCTCATGGACATGGGCTCCGGGAGCATCAAGATGAAAGTCGGGAACAAAAAGGTCAATGACGGAGAATGGTGCCACGTGGATTTCCAGAGAGAGGGCAGGAAAGGTGAGGATATTGCAAGATCAGCACACACATTATTCGCCTGTTTAAAATGCTGTTGTTAACCTACTTGCTTTGATTTTTGCTCAGTTTTGAGACTAAAGGGACGTTTCCTCTTAATGTCTGCCGTTAAAGCACCTCGTTCTGCCCGCTTAGGGTCCATCTGATATGCATACTTCACAAACTGCTTAATCACTGTACTCCATTTCTTCTACTTCTCATTACCTCTCATTACTGTAAGAGCTCAACTCAAATACACTTTCCACAGTTTTAAAGCAGCAGGCCCGGCATGAGATTTAGCAAATCCCGGGGGAAGAGGTTGAAGACCTTTCCACTAGCTGAGCTCAGGAGGGAAAAAAAGGAAGCACAGTGGATTGTTAATGCTAGGGCTGTCAATTAAATGTGTTTTTTAACTGCTACTACAAGCATCCAGGGTTGTGCAGTTCATGAGTTTGAATTTGAATTGGCCACACCCCTCAGGAAGTTGAATTGGAATGAAAGGAAAAGGAATGTACTGATTTAGAATACACATCAAATACAGTCTATCATCTCTCTGTCTATCTATCTGTCTGTCTGTCTGTCTGTCAATCTGTCGTTCTGTTTGTCGTTTTGTCTTGTCTATTGTTCTGTTGTTCAGTTTAGTGGTCTATCTCTGTCTATTCTGTCATTGTTATTCTGTCTGTTATTTTCTATCTATCGTTCAGTTTGATGTTCTGTCTGTTGTATATATCTGTCTTTCTATGAATTTATTGTTCTCTCTTTCATTCTATCTGTCGTTCTGTCAGTCATTCGATTCGATTTGATTGTTCTGTCTGATGTTCTATCTACAGTATATATCATTCTGTCTGTCGTTCTATCTGTCTTTCGTTTATTTTGTCTGTTATTCACTGTCAATCGGTCTATTGTTATTGTTTTTGTCTTGACAAACTTTGCTTTTCTAATGAAAATTAGTCATATAAATTTCTTTGGATTCAAATTCATTTTAATTCTACTTCCTTACATCCAAATTCTAAAAGTTTACTGCCTCAATTCACATTAAGGATTTGAATTGCAGTTGAAATGCATTGTCAGTGACATTCTAAATAGTGCACAGCCTTGCAGACAACACTCGGCAAATTATTTTCTGATTATTTCCAGTTTCAGTTTAATTAAAGTATCATGTCATCTTTTTTTTCGGTAACACTTTAAGGACCAATTCTCACTATTAACAAGTTGCTTATTAGCATGCATATTACAATCATATTGGGTTTTTATTAGTACTTATAAAGAACACATTAATACCTTAGTCTGCATTACCATATTTTAGATCCCTGAATTCTACCTCATACCTAAACTTAACAACTACCTTACTAACTATTAATAAGCAGCAAATTAGGAGTTTATTGAGGCTAAAGTCTTTGTTAATAGTTAGTTAATAGTGAGAATTGGTCCCTAAACTAAAATGTGACCTACTTTTCTAAATCAATTTATAGTCCTTTTATTAAAAATTGGACAAAAATAGCTCTAAATGTTGTGGTGCATAGGTTCACATGCAGATTATCATCAATCACTACTTCCTCCTCATTTCCTATCACCTAGGCTCTATCTCCGTCAATGGCCGCAGCATGCCCTTCTCTACCAACGAGGGCAGTGAGATTCTGGATCTCGATGGTGAAATGTTTCTGGGGGGTCTGCCGGAGGACAGCGGCAGTCTTCCTCTCCCCCCAGAGGTGTGGACCGCCCGCCTCAGGCTGGGCTTTGTGGGTTGCGTGCGGGATCTCTTTATAGATGGGCACAGCAAGGACCTGCGGCAGTTGGCGGAGCTTCAGAGCGCTCCAGGTGTCAGCAGCTTCTGTACGAGAGAGACCCATCGGAGGTGCAGCTCTGAGCCCTGTTCCCACGGAGGCCGCTGCCGCGAGGGCTGGAATCGACATGTCTGCGACTGCACTGGAACTGGATATCTGGGCCCCAACTGTGAGATGGGTGAGGAAAGTAGGGCTTAAAGCAGTGGGGAGGGAGGATTAAACATGGGATTACTTTTTACAGGTGAGACACATTCTCATAAAGAAGAGCAAGGCTTCAGTGCTTCACTTGTATACTTTTATATTGAGATACAGCTGCACTTTAGCTGTATTCATCAGATCCCACCTGCCTAGACCTTTGTTTGCTATTGCTGTATCGTTTCTAACTCTCTCCTGCCCTCTGCTGTCTGTCATTAAGTATAGCAACGTGACCACACAATGTCCACTACAGACATGGCACGGGTGACTCAGCATGGGTGCACATACACATGAAGCAATATTTTAATAGTTATATGTAGCGAATAATGTAAATATTATACTAAAATTAGCATGTAGCATGATGGTAGCATGATATTCTGCTGATAATTATGTCTGCTTGGCTGATTAACAGAAGTTTATCGGTTTTCTTTTATGTGGTTTTACTGATCTTTTGAGTACAATCATGGAGTTGCATTGTAGTTTTATGCAAGGTTATTTTAATAAACTAAAACTAACCTGACTAAAATGAAAATAAAAATGTATAAAAACAATGTAGACACATTTTAAAAAACAGCAACCAAACAAAATGACAAAATACAACAAAGTTACTAAAATTAAAATGAAAAGTAAAAATCTAAAAACGTATATAACTCAAAATATATATAAAAAAACAACCGTTTTTGAAGTATCTTATGACAAATTACTATTATTATTATTATTAATAATAATAATAATAATAATAATAATAATAATGACTTCCATTACATATACATTACAATGTAAAAAACGTATTAAAAAAAAGTATTTATTTAACTACATTGTAACTTTAATTAATATCGAAAATGTAATAATAATAGTAGTTTTATTACTTTTTAAATTTATATTTAATTTATTTTCTTACTTATTTTAGACCACTTACAAATGTAAAAGCAACAGAAAAAGTCCTCATTTTTTTAGACCTGTGTTTTCTGATTTACTCTCTTTTTTTTCTGCTCTCTCAGAGTCCGCAGTGCTGAGTTATGACGGCAGCATGTTTCTGAAGGTCCTGATGCCTCATGCTGTTCACACTGAGGCTGAGGACGTGTCTCTGCGCTTCATGTCGCAGAGGGCTTATGGTCTGCTCATGGCCACCACCTCCAAAGAGTCCGCCGACACCCTGCGCCTAGAGCTGGACGGGGGAAGGGTCAGACTCACCGTCAACCTAGGTAACCTTCCACTGCTGACCTCCGGTGTCGAGGCACTCATAGAACAAGTGTGGGGTTCCTTCCAGAATGCATTTCACCTTCATTCCTCCATCTTTATCTCTTTCTTGTCTTCCTCTCTCACTGTCTTTCTTTCTTTCTTTCTTTCTTTCTTTCTTTCTTTCTCTCTCTCACCTGTGCAGCCTTCAATGGCTATCTTTTCTGCAGCTTTCAGAGCAGACAGCCAGAGAGAC